AGAAGAAATTTCACTTTTACTGTTTTTTGAATGCTATCAATCGTCAGCACTATTGATTGTCTTGAAAAATGCAAAATTTGAGGTGGAATGAAAGTGCAATAAATAGAAAAAAAAATGATTATAAAGCTTAAAGTGACGTTTACTTTTTTTTTTATTAGTGATTATGACTGTTTCGTTGAAGTTGATTTTTTTTATTAATTAGAAAAACAAAAAATATTTCCTCAAGTTTTTTTAGCGTACTACGTTATTGGTGGTGGTGTAAAAACAGCAATAATGCAGGAAAACGTTGCTGCCACTAATGGAATTGTGCATTACATCGAACGAGTTCTTGGCGTTCCCTACCAAACACTTTGGGAAATTTTGAAAAACGAAACTCGGCTACAGTAAGCGTTTCCAAATTACTTCAATTTTTTTTTTCACAAAATCGAGTAGCTGACTTTATTCAGCCCTATTAGACAAAGATGTTTTCCGGTTCCCTTCATCTATCCCTCAAACGAATACACAACATACTTTCCTATTCTTTGATCTGATTAACAATACTGTAACCATATGTGGTGGTGATAAAAAGCCAAACAAAACAGTAAATTTTCTTACGCTTCATTAGCAGCAATTATGTGGCTGTTGAGACAGAAATTAATCTACCATAAAAATTACGCGCTGATTATTACAACAACTGAACAGCATGAACAGAAAAAAAAAAAACAGCATTTTTTTGTTTTTATTAAAATGAAATGAACAAATTTTTAACGTGTTATAGAATTAATTCAACCGTTTTTAAAAATTTTTCTTGTTTATTTACTCATTATTACTGTTTTTAAGGACATCTTATAAAATGCTTACGAATCTACAGCTGCGTTATTCGTTAGACCCATGGCAAGTGTTAACAAACGATCAAAATTTTACATTTTTTGTACCGACAAATGAAGCATGGGATAAGGTTTGCCTGCCTAACAGTTTTTACAGCACATTTCGTATATTGTAGATTCTACAAATGATAATAGGCTTGTCGACCGAAATCAAAAAAAAAGCATAAATTTAACAGACTTTTGCTTTTGAAAAGAAGTAAACAGACAACTTTGTTACTTTAATTGTTTATACAAAGAAGCGTTACTCGGAACGATAGAATTACTGTGACAGCTACAAATGATTACTCCTCGGTAATTAATCAAATACATGTTCAGGTTGCCACAGCTTTACGACATCGTATGCTTGATGGGAATCATTGGCTTGCCCTTCAGTATGTCTACAAACGACATATAATCCAAGGACAAGCGTTAATGTATACAGATTTTCGGGAACGTACCTTTGTGACAATGAATGATGAGAAAGTTGTGTTGCGTAGGCGTGGAAGATGTAAGTATTTAGTAGTTTTCTTCTTTTACGAAGTTCTAGACGAATAATCAACCACTTTGTATATTTAAATGTTACCCGAGTTTGGCAAAATGTTTTTGCTATACATCATTTAATCTATCCGAAATTCGGAGAGAAAAGATCTTTTGTCCATATTGCCGTTGTTGTCATTGTCCTAATCTTTTTTTTTAGATTGGGAATTGTATTGGCCACGCGGTAATCGCGTAGCCAAAATTCGAGAAGGAGGTGAAATTGCGGGTATTAATGGTTTTATGCATGAGATTGACAACGTACTTATCTACGAACCTGACATCAAAGCTAGAGCATGTCAAGCAGCATTTCTTGATTATCTTTTAATTTTCTGTATTTTAGTGGCTCTCTACAGAAACAGAATGGCAGAAATTATTTTTTTACTTTCTTATAAGTATTTACTGTCTGACTTTGTAAATTAAATTTTAAAAGAAAGATTAAAAAAGAACAAGAAATTGAGCGCTATGAAAGTTACCAAGGAATTCATTTGAGAAACGAACGTGCAAAGAATGTCACAGTCTAACTTATTTTAATGATACAGCGTGAATCCGTACAATGATCATTGAACTGACCAACTCTTGCCGTGAAATCTCATCTTGCAGCAGTTTAATAGCAAAAAGCAACCATAAGTTGAACTAAAGTTTGTCACAAAAAACCTTCAGCACTAGTTTTGCAACAGTTTCGTCTGCAGCGGTGGCAGTGATATCAACGCTTATTCTTTGGTCAAATAGAACTAGCCGAAGTGCATTTGGATAAGTAACTGATAAGAATGTTGCAGAACAAGGTTTTTTTACATATGAACCTGACTCCAACTGCATCGTCTCCCCATCCGTTCATCTGTTGACCAAAAAAGTTTCTCGTCTTTTTATTGAAATTGTAAATGGAGAGTTTACGTAAAATGAACAAGTGAATCACTCGGCAACGGAGTCAAAAGCTCTGTTGCTATTGTTAATTCGCACAGACGTTGAATGGGATAACCCAACAACTGAAGAAGTCATGCAGCGATATATTTATTGCATTCAATAAATAGTTATTGCGGAAGCCAGAAAAAAAGACAAAATTGAGTAGGAAAATCCAGCTTCCTATCTATAAATGTATATTCTTTACAAAATTTGTTTTATTTTTTATTCCCAATTTTTTATTAAATTTAATATGCCATCTGCACAATTTTTACAATAACAATTATGACAAAAAAAAGGAGGTGCAAAAAACATTGTGTTGAAAAGTAGCTAAATTCAATTATTTCTTTTCTTCGTTTCCTTTTTGATACTGTGTCATTGGAAGTTGTGCTTGGACTTTCAGTTTCCTTTTTCTGACAAATTTGAATGATAGTTGCAACTGAAGATGTTCGCTTGTTGTTAGTCGTAATTCTGATCACAATTAATTTTTATCTTACATTTCTTTTTATTTTTTAGATATTAAGCGGCGCAAAAAAGTTAATTTCTTTCCAACCCCGTTCAGTACCAATAATGTCTTAAACAGGTTTTGTTTTCCTACAATGCAAAGGAATAAAGTTCATTAAGTTACGCAAATAAAAAAAAATGAAAAAATAAATGCAGATCAAGCAAAAAATGAGATAAAATACACGAATAAACAAATAAATAAATAAACAAATAAACAAAGACAGTGTTGTTTGATAAAACGATCAAGCGAGGTCGTCAAAGGTTTTCCCCCCCTTTTTTTGCAGGTCATTTAACTCACAATAAAACTTCTGTAATCATCTGCCCAACCGGTCTACGCATACTAATTAGTCATAATTCATTATACAATATTACCTTCCTTTTATTAAACAACGTTCCTGTTGATTTTGAGGAAGGAAATTTACCACATGTTTACAAATTTACCGTTACACCACTAGACCCGAAATGCATCCGAGTAAGAAAAAGAGCAATAGCAGCAAAAAAAAAAAAAAAAAGTATTTGAGAAATTGAAAGAAAAAAAAAACCAGCAATGGAGAAAAAATAAGCCGGTGGAAGAAAATGGCAATCTGTAAAATCCTGACAACTTCTGATTAGTGGAAAAGCCGGTGAAAAGAGAAACTGGTAAATAAGAAAAGAAAGAAGAGAGGAGGGTGCGAAAAAATAAACAAGCTGAAAAGAGGGAAAGGAAACAGGTTGAATTTGGGATGATAGTTCTCGGAATGGTCCACAAAGCTTTGGACTCTTTATATGTCTGTTGGTGTCTGCGTCAGTGTCTGTGTCTGTGTTGTGCCTCAACGTATAGCAGTTGGTGGTTAGTTGGTACCCGCCCATTTCCTTAATAGATATCTGCAGCTATTGTGACCAGACAACGGACTGCTGTTCGCTTTTTAGGCAAGACAGAGGTCTTCAACGAACAATATTTCAATGTTTCCTTTAACACTGCCAACAATTTCAGTTAATTAGTGTCGACACCAAAAAAAATCCCGACTTACTGGGCACTTTTTTTTTTTTTT